AAAATTCCCCCAAAATTCCCTCAAAATTCCCCCAAAATTCCCCCAAAATTCCCTAAAAATTCCCTAAAAATTCTCACAAAATATTCCCAAAAATTCCCACAAATTTCCCCCAAAATTCCCTCAAAATCCCCCCAAAAATTCCCCCAAAATTCCCAAAATTCCCTCAAAATTCCCCCAAAATCCCCTCAATCCTTCCCAGAATTCCCAAAATTCCCAGAATTCCCAAAATTCCCGTTTTTTTCCCGCAGGTGAACGGCACCGAGGGGGAGATGGAATACGAGGAGATCACTTTGGAAAGGGTGAGATTCCCAAAATTCCCAAAAATCCCCCAAAATTCCCAAAAATCCCCCAAAATTCCCAAAAAATCCCCCCCAAAATTCCCAAAATTCCCTTTTTTTGGATCATTTTTGGATGGATTTTTAGGATTTTTTTGCAATTCTGCCCCTCCTGGGGGTGGATTTTGGCTTTTTTTGGGATATTTTGGATCTAAAATTCCCAAAATTCCATTTGGGATCCCCAAAATTCCCAAAAAATCCATCCAGAATTCCCAAAATTCCCTTTTTTTGCTCATTTTTTTGCCTTTTTTTGCCGGATTTTTTTCCCAATTTTTGCCGTTTTTTGGGATTTTTTTGGAATTTTGTCTCTCCTGGGGGTTTTGGGGGTGGATTTTTGGGGTTTTTTGGGTCCTTTTGGCCCTAAAATGACCCCAAAATTCCATCTGGGATCCCCAAAATCCATCTGGAATTCCCAAAATTCCCTTTTTTTGGCCATTTTTTGCCGGATTTTCGCGATTTTCGGGGGATTTTTTGGGATTTTTTGGGGAATTTTGTCCCTCCTGGGGGTTTTGGGGGTGGATTTTTGGGGTTTTTTGGGTCGTTTTGGCCCTAAAATGACCCCAAATTCCCGCAGGGGAACTCGGGGTTGGGTTTCAGCATCGCTGGGGGCACCGACAATCCCCACGTGGGCGACGACCCCGGAATCTTCATCACCAAAATCATCCCCGGAGGCGCTGCCGCCCAGGACGGGAGGCTCAGGTGAGGAATTCACCCAAAATCACCCCAAAATCGGGTTCAGGATGGTCAAAAACCCCAAAATTGACACCAGGAGCACCAAAATCCCACAAAGTTCACCCAAAAAACCCCAAAATCTCACAAAATTCACCCCAAAATCACCCAAAATTCAACTAAATCTCCCCAAAATCACCCAAAATTCAACTAAATCTCCCCAAAATCACCCAAAATTCAACTAAATCTCCCCAAAATCACCCAAAATTCAACTAAATCTCCCCAAAATCACCCAAAATTCAACTAAATCTCCCCAAAATCACCCAAAATTCAACTAAATCTCCCCAAAATCACCCAAAATTCAACTAAATCTCCCCAAAATCACCCAAAATTCAACTAAATCTCCCCAAAATCACCCAAAATTCAACTAAATCTCCCCAAAATCACCCAAAATTCAACTAAATCTCCCCAAAATCACCCAAAATTCAACTAAATCTCCCCAAAATCACCCAAAATTCAACTAAATCTCCCCAAAATCACCCAAAATTCAACTAAATCTCCCCAAAATCACCCAAAATTCAACTAAATCTCCCCAAAATCACCCAAAATTCAACTAAATCTCCCCAAAATCACCCAAAATTCAACTAAATCTCCCCAAAATCACCCAAAATTCAACTAAATCTCCCCAAAATCACCCAAAATTCAACTAAATCACCCAAAATCACCCAAATTCACCCCAAAATTGGGTTCAGGATGGTCAAAAACCCCAAAATCGACACCAGGAGCACCAAAATCCCACAAAATTCACCCAAAATCCCACAAAATTTACCCCAAAACCACCAAAATCTCACAAAATTCACCCAAAAAAACCCCAACATTTACTCAAATTTACCCAAAATTCAACTAAATCACCCAAAATCACCCAAATTCACCCCAAAATTGGGTTCAGGATGGTCAAAAACCCCAAAATCGACACCAGGAGCACCAAAATCCCACAAAATTCACTCAAAATCCCACAAAATTCACCCAAAAAAACCCAAAATCCCACTAAATTTACCCAAAAAACACCCAAAATTTACCTAAAATCACCCAAAATTCAACTAAATCACCCAAAATCACCCAAATTCACCCCAAAATCGGGTTCAGGATGGTCAAAAACCCCAAAATCGACACCAGGAGCACCAAAATCCCACAAAATTCACCCAAAAAATACCAAAAAAATCCAGAAAAAAATCACGAAAATTCCCAAAAAAATTCCTAAAAATTCCCAAAAAATTCGCAAAAATTCCCAAAAAATTCGCAAAAATTCCCAAAAATTCCCAATTTTTTTTTGGGATTGCAGGGTGAACGACAGCATCCTGTTTGTGAACAAGGCAGACGTGCGGGAGGTGCCGTGAAACCACCCCAAAGCCCTGAAAATTCGCAAAAAAAATCACAAAAAATGAATAAAAAATCGCTAAAATTCCAAAAAAATTCCCAAAAATTCCCAAGAATTCCCAGAATTCCCAGAATTCCAGGATCAATGACGTCATCCTGGTTTTGAGCCCCGAAACCTCACAAAAATCACAAGAAATGCCCAAAAAATCATAAAAAATGCCTAAAAAATCAGAAAAAAATCCGTCAAAAATAAAAAAAAAAATCCCAAGAAATCCAAAAAAATCCCAAAAAATTCCCAAGAATTCCCAGAATTCCCAGAATTCCGGGATGAATGACATCATCCTTGTTTTGAACCCGTAAAGTCCCCAAAATTCCCAAAAAATCACAAAAAAATCACAAAAAATCCCAAAAAAATCACAAAAAAATCCGTAAAAAATCCAAAAAAAATCGTAAAAAACCCCAAAAAAATCCCCAAAATTCCCAAAAAATTCCCAAAAATTCCCAATTTTTTTTTGGGATTGCAGGGTGAACGACAGCATCCTGTTTGTGAACGAGGCAGACGTGCGGGAGGTGCCGCACTCGGCGGCCGTGGAGGCTCTGAAGGAGGCGGGAGCCGTGGTCAGGCTCTACGTGATGAGGAGGAAGGTCCCGGCAGAGAGGGTGGTGGAGGTGAAGCTCATCAAAGGACCCAAAGGTATTCCCAAAAAAAAAAATCAGGATTCCCAAAATTCCCAGGGAATTCTGAGTCCCTGGGGAGGAGGCATTAGGAATTTGGAGGGAATTCTTGGGGGAAATGGCAAAGATTTGGGTCAAAATGGGCAAAAATCTGGGTTTTTTTAGCTTGAAAAAGGTCAAATCTGGAGGAAAATCAATCAAATCCTGCCCAGAATTCCCGAAATTCCCAAAATCCACAAAATCCTGGGAAAAATCCATAAAATCCTGGGAAAAATCCCCCAAATCCAACCCAAAATAGGCAAAATTCTGGTTTTTTAGCCTAAAAATC